ATTAGTCCGGGGGTCTCCGGAGGCAGCTGACGGGTACCGGCAGGCCAGACGGAAAGTGGCTCGGGCGGTCGCAGAAGCAAAAACCGGGCATGGGAGGAGGTCGGTGAGGCCATGGAAAGTGACTTTCGGTCGGCCTCAAAAAGGTTCTGGCAAACCATCCGGAATATCAGGAAGGGGAAGCAGCTCCTGGTTCCTACTATTTATAGTGGGGAGGGGGTGCTGTTGACCTCTCACCTGGGGACATCACCCGGAGGTGGAAGGAATACTTTGAGGACCTCCTCAACCCTGCCTCAGATACATCTACACACACTGCCTTTGAGACATCTGAGGGCACAGAGCCCGAGGGTGCTGGGGGGGGCTTGCCCATCACTGGGGCTGAGGTGGCCAGGGTGGTTAAAGAGCTATGTGGTGGCCGGGCCTCGGAGGTGGACGAGATCCGCCCGGAGTACCTAAAGGCTCTGGATGTTGTGAGGCTGTCGTGGCTGACACACCTTATCAACAGTGCATGGAGGTCAGGGACAGTGCCGCTGGATTGGCAGACTGGGGTGGTGGTCCCATTATTTAAGAGGGGGGACCGGAGGGTGTGTTCCCACTACAGGGGGATCATACTTCTCAGCCTTCCCGGGAAAGTCTATTCCGGGGTACTGGAGAGGAGGGTGAGATTGATAGTCGAATCTTGGATTTAGGAGGAACAATGCGGTTTTCGTCCTGGCTGTGGAACATTGGACCAGCTTTATACCCTTGCAAGGGTAAGGGAGGGGGCCTGGGAGTTTGCCTATCCAGTCTACATGTGTTTTGTGGATATGGAAAAGGCTTACGACTGGGTTCCCCGAGGTGAAGTAGAATCGCTGCTTCTCCACGTCGAAAGGAGCCAGCTGAGGTGGTTTGGACATCTGGTGCGGATGCCTCCTGGGCGGCTACCTAAAGAGGTTTTCCATGCATGTCCTACAGGGAGGAGGCCCTGGGGTAAACCCAGGACACGCTGGAGGGATTATATCTCTCGGCTGGACTGGGAACGCCTCGGTGTCCCCCCCGAGGAGCTGGTAGAGGTAGCTGGGGAGAGGGAGGTCTGGGTATCTCTCCTGAAGCTGCTACCCCCGCGACCCGAACCCCGGACAAGCGGTAGGTAATGGATGGATGAATGGAACCACAGAACTTGTCAATATTAAGCCAAGATATCTCACCTCTTTCGTTACCAGGATGTTAACAACAGAAACTAAGTCCGAATTGAGGACTGTTAAAATCTCACATTTCTGAGATTTTAAAGTCAGACCAGAAGCCTTTGAGAAAAAATACATTTTGTTGATTTCTTTAGAGACCATAAGTTCATTTTTTAGAAACAAGCCCGTATCATCAGCAAATTGCCTTATTATAAATTCCATCCCTAATAATTCAGTTCATTGAATGTCAGGTGAATTTTTAAGAAAAATTACCATCAGTTCAGCAGCTATTATGAACAATAGAGAGCTTATAGGGCAACCCTGTCATATACCCCTTTTCACAAGAAACCTTGGTGAACAGCCTCGGCTAAGAGAAATGCTACTGCTAAATTGTGCTAATATCATTATAAAACATTCGAATAATGTGGCAGAGCTGTAATAGGGCCTTAAAAGTTATGCCCAACAAGGCCCGAGCCCGACAGAATTCTGCCCAACCCCGACAAGTACATTTTGATTGACAGCTTTTTAAAAGCCCGAACTCATTTACAGCCCGACATTATTCAAAGGGGCGCACGCACACAACTCTTTTGCCTTTTGTCAAGAATGAGTCATTTATACATTTTTTTAACATAATTTATTCATGACTAATGTAGGCTATAGGCCACTTGGAAGTTGGAACAAAGACATAAAATAAGTCCTCTGTTAACATCGTAACATCTCAGCACTCTAAATAGGCCTAGGCATACACAACGCGCCAATAAAATCGAGTCTTAAATTAAATTAAGATTAATTCTAAATTAAGAAGCGTATTTGGCAATAACAAAATTAAGATAAAGGGAACAGCTTCAATCAACATGCCTTATCAACAACAAATTCCCTGTCGTTTTGCAGTCGTACTTTAGCAGAATGTTGTATCTTCTCTATTTCACATAATGAACTGGCTCATTATTCTCATTATGCACATGGTCAAAACTTTTCCACACCTCAGACTTTGCTTTCATTGCCGGTGCAACCAAAACGTAATTGCCAGAGGCTAGCCTCCGTTTCACCTCCTCAGCATCCATTTTCGCATCTTTCCCGCGCGAATTGAAATGCATCACCTGACCGCTCATTTACTACGCAAGCCGAAGCGCAAGCTCGAGCCTGTGTAAAATGATAGAAATTAAGCCAGGTCCCGTTGGGTTCCGGCAAAGAACTTAGCAAAAATTAGTTCCAAAGCCAAATATACTCAAATATTTAAGAAGAAAGAGGTGTTCTAAGGAGTCAAAGGCGTTAAAGAAGTCTAAAAACAGGTCAGGTCAGGTTGGGGAGCATGCACAGATGCAGCGTGTTGCTGCACCCACCACACAGCAAAACTCCTTGGGATTCCAGTCAGCGATCCCCCAGGCAGATACAGTCCCACCCTCCAAAAATGGCCATCCATCTGCCGCAGCCAGGTGTTATGTGGGCGTCCCCTTCGACTGGTCCAGCCTCTTAGGTCCTCAGCAATGAGGATCCTGCGATCACCCTCAGGGAAACACGCCAAATGGCCATAGTGCCATAACTGTTGCTCCCTCACAATGCAGATAATGTGCCTCATTTGGGACTCCTCTAGCAACTGCTCATTCACCAAATTTGTCAAACCAGCAGTACCCAAGGAGTCCAGTCTTTGTCTCAGGCAAAGGTGGACAAAGTACTCACATTCATTACTTAAGTGAAAGTACAGATACCACTGGTCAAATGTTACTCCAATACAAGTGAAAGTCGTGCAGTCAAATTTTTACTTAAGTTAAAGTACTGAAGTACTTGCTTTTAAAAATACTTAAGTATTAAAAGTACATTTTCTTTCACCGCATTGTTGCATTATTGGCACAACACACACAATACCTAATGCCTCTGACTAGCTTGTAGAACCTCTAGAATAAGAAATTGGTAAAATGTTACAGAATGAAACACAAGCTGACAAAGAAAAAAGCAATTTATTTTTAACAAGTCAAAACAATCCCAGTGTGGTCAAATTACTCAAATTCGTAAAAAGTCCTTATTTAGCTTAAGCAGAAGCTAGTTCTCAAAGTTGCATGGGCTGATTGCTGCAATCCAGCTGTATTAAAAAGCCTCTCACATGCTGCTGAGGCAGGCAGGGCTGTGTTTAGCTTAAATGATAGATTACATACAGCAGGATAAGCGGTCAACATAGTTACACCTTCAGCTGCACATGTTAGGTATGCATCTAACTGTTTGGTTATTTTCTGTGTCTGTGTACAGTATGCTTGATATTAGAGAAGAAATCATCTTCATCAGAAGTAGTTAAGGAGTTGTCAGCAGACCGAACACCCTCATCATGGTCAGGAAGATGCTTCTTAATGTAACTGTGGCCTAAATCAGAAACAATTATAGATTAATCATAATTTTTATAGAACATTGTCATTAAGCTGCAAGTTTATGCAACTACAATTTAGGTTTTGTCTTCCAAACAGTAGATGAAATTAGGAAACGATGGGATATTTCTTACCGAGCCTAAGGACCTCTTCATCACTGGTCCAGGAGGTTTTAAACTTCGGATGAAGAATGGCTGCTGCAACTAATTCAGGATCAGAGGTCATATCTCCAAACCGTTTCCTCTAACCATCTAGGAGGGCATCAACTAGCGGCTTGCAGAATCTCAGCGATGCTCTCATTTAGTCAAGTTTGGTCACAAGGGTCATGATTATAGGGAGCAGCCATCCCATCTGAATGTTGGATTCTCCTTGCAATATGTTTACTGCCTTTGCAACTGGGCTCATGGTGGTGGTGTATTCACCAAAAAAGGCTATGTCAGCTGGACTGTACCTAACACAGGAAAAAAAAAAAAAAGACCAATCGTAAAAAAACAAATAATTTTTCCTCCAATGTACATAAAATAACTAATACATTAAAGCACCCTCACAAATGGGTAATTTCAGATCACACAGGAATTAGCTTTATAAAATCATTTTTTAACTGTTCCCTGTTTTTTGTTACACTGTAAAACCTAACAACATATCTTAATCAAAGAAGTAAGTTAACATTACTTGATACTCCAAAATATTGAGGCAATTCATTCTCATGAATTAACCGAACTCAAAATTGAATTTTTGAAGTAATAACTCAATAAATTTGAGTGTGCTTAGATTTTTGCATCATTTCAAGTAGATGTGATTTATACAAGTTAGTTGCACTGACTCATTTTCTCTAAATTGAATTAGTATTATTTAAATGGCTGGCTTTTGTCTTGGGATGTTTTTAATAAAACCTTCAGAATGTGCTCCAGTAATCTAGTAATCAATTCTGAAGATTCACATAAAGTGTAAAGATTGGATGTTAGTATCATTTGGTAAAAACTCAACAGCAATCATTAGTATTTTAAAATACATTTTCTTTCAGAAAATCAATCTATTGATAACAGAATAATTTTTTAAATTATAACATTTTTTTGTTCCAGCCTCTAAGGCCACTTAAAATTAATAAATTGTTTTACATGGCCGCCCACCTCAATTTTTTGGTGCCGCCTCGATTTTTTTAATATTTTATATTTTTCAAAAAATCCGTTTTATTCACCTCAAAAACTGTGGGTGAAAAATCTTGAATGTCAGCCTCGGATTTTTCAATTTGACGCTTCTCGGACAATGGTTTTTATCGTTTGTCAGATTGTGTGTGGGCCCACGAGCTGTTCGCGAGCTGTTTGAGAACTTTTCTAGTTTTAGTATATCTCTGTTGCCGTTCGTCTTTTCGCTAAAAATATAAAATATAAAATCCCCTACTCACCAATATTTTAGAAGTTTGAATCATGTAAAACAGTTTATTAATTTTAAGTGGCCTAATGAGAATTACATCATCTTGCTTGCATTATAACAAACTTTGTAAGCGCCACTTATGCAGAATGGTGTAGTTTTGTTTAATTAAATGGTTGGAATATGTTGTCTTAAACCTGCCATTCTAAGTTGAAATTTATGTAGCATATTATTACATGAAAATGCTTCTCCGGTTAATTTTGGTTTGCAACTGCCGGAAGGAATATGTGTCAGAGGAGCAATAAAGTTTTTGTTTTGAATATGCAAATAAAGAAGTGGACGTTGGGACCCACACGGTTGTTTTACCGTGACTGGTAACCTACCATTTAACGCGTAAAACAGTCTACCAATGTTCATTTCACAGAAGTGGTCAAATTTTTAGATTGTGACAAAAAGAATAACGTTCCCAAACGAAGTCGACCACTACAAACTTATTGGTGGAATAACCTTTTAATAACTACGTTTTAAATATATGTAGGAGACAAAAAAACAGACTGGGCATTCTGGCAAAAATTTAAACTCTGAACTTGGCGGAAACGCCCGTTAACTTTGCGCAGAGGGAGAAGGCGCGCGAGAGAGGCAGGCTTGGCGCTTGGACTTGTTCACGCTCAAAAGCGGAACAGCAGAAGGAGACGTCGGCATACAGCACTCCAGCGTGTTTTTGGGAAGTCATTTCACTGGCGACTGAAACGTACATTTGTACTTTATACCAGGTAACGTTTTGACTCGACACACAGTTTGGCTGTTTGGTAAAAGCATGTAGTGTTGACGCTACGACAGGTTTTAGTTGCTCAGACATGAGATTGGTAACAAGCAATTGAAGCAATATTTGCTGGCAAACTAATATTGCTGTAGTTGGCTAACATTATTTTACAAGCAGCTAGGTAAATACTCTTGTAGCTAACATTTACATTCGCTTTTTAAAAACCGTGTTAACGTTAGTTGTGCAGCTTAAAAAGTGAATGCAAGTAACCTAACTGATTGTAAAATAATGTTAGCTACAGATAGGCTGGGTTGAATTGGTATCAATACTGGTAATATTAAATATGTGGAAATGTAAATTGTGTGGCTTTTCTACTGCCTTAAAAGTACAGTTATTGCGACATTACAGACTCTATCATGGACAGTATTCCACAGTTTCACCTTTACCTTGTCTGTATGACAATTGCATGTCCACATTTAGCACTTTCAATGCACTGAAGATCCATTTATCAAGATTACATGATGAGAAAAGAGTGGTAGCTAGGGACAGTCTTGATATAACGTTCAATCTGGTATTTCATTGTCCTGTGTGTAATTTTAAGCAACCTTTTGTTGAGAGGGATATGTTTATTCATCTCAGGGGTCATTTAAGACGGAAAGAAATGGTGCCATGTCTGTTTAAGGCTTGCAAGTTTAAAACAAATGTTTACTCCACATATAATGCTCATAAATGCAGGGATCATCAAAATACACCTGACTATGATGTGTCAGTGGTAGTGCAGGGTGTATCAAACTTTTCTCAGGATACTGACTTCGAGCAAGGACCAGCAGAATCCTTGGATGAAAATGAATTCATATCTAAAGCAGCTAGCAGCACTGACAATTTAGAGGAACAATTACAGTATAACCTGGCTGGCTTCTTCTTGAAAATGGAAACTATTCTCCATGTATCACAAAGAGCAACACAAGAAATAATTGAGCATATTGATCAGTTGTTTTCTCTCAGAACCTGTAGTCAGAGAATCTATCATCAAGATACTGAAAAAACATAACTGCTCTTTTACTGACCAACTTGTAAATGAGACAGTCCAGGCAGTTTTAGAGAGTAATGTTTTGCATAAATGTTACCTCTGAAGGACCACTGTCAACAGTTAAGAGGAGAAAATCATATTATGAATTTCCATTTGTTAAACCCACATAGTACATTATTGAGTTGTCACAGCATACTGTACATATATGTATGTGCCTATACTGACATCTCTGCAATTGTTATTGAAAAAAACAGATGTGTTTGAGAAAGTCAAAGAAACCACTGTGCAGATATCTGGACAGTATTCATCATACTGTGATGGCTCCTTCTACCACGAGAATCTGCTTCTCTCAGCTGAGGGTCAGAAATGATCAATCATTCTCTATATTGATGATTTTGAAATTGCAAACCCTCTAGGAACATCAAAGAAAATACACAAAGTGTGTGCGGTTTATTGGACATTAGCTAACCTGCCAGTGAAGTACCGCTCAGCCCTTCACTCCACACAACTTGCCCTTTTGTGCAATTCAAATAATGTATGGCAGTTTGGATATGCAAAGCTTTTTGCACCTCTCTTGCGTGACCTGAAAACTCTTGAAGAATACAGTGTCTTCATTGAAACATTTGGTGATTGTCTCAAAGGCACGGTGTACTCTGTTGTAGCTAGGGATGTAAGCAATTAATCGATTATCAATTAATTGTCGATAAGAAATTACTCGATTAAAATTAATTAATTGCAATTAATTGTATTTTGAACCCATAATTCCTTGCCAGTCCTCGTGGGGCGCACTTGACGTCAGACGTACTTGACGCACACGCGGGAACACAAGCAAACAACAGATAAAAGAGAAACGGTCTATAGGATGAAGAGGGCAAAACGGAGTGCAGTATGGAGCCACTTCAAGTG